CCGACTGTGCAAACAAGTTATGTATCCTGCAGGGTACTCACCGTCGAAGTTTGAGAAGTTCGATGGAAAAAATGGCAACCTTAGGGAGCACATTACCCATTATCTTGATAGTCTTGGCCACTATGTGCTTTACGAGCCTTTTTGGATGATTCCAAGTCCCTCAAGGACAAGGCCTTCACTTGGTATGTTAACCTCTCGGTAGAATCGGTGAGGGATTGGGACAACTTGGTTGCACATTTTTACGCAATTTTTTTCCATGTTGAGCAGTGTATTATAGTACTTTCCCTGATGAAGACTATTCAGGATGACAGAGAAGCCCTAATGATATACATTGACAAGTTCCGTGAAAAAGCCATCGAGTGCCAATAAAATGTCACCGAAGAGGCCTTTGTCTGAATTTGCATCAACGAAATGCATAACAAAATATAAGACATTGTTGGTGAACAGTGACTTTAAAATCTTTTACTAGGCTATGCGAATCTGTTCAAAGGCTTTCGGAGGTGGTCCAGCCCTCCTTGAAGATAGCCAGTTGGACGGACAAGAGGAAAGGAACAATATTTGTAGTTGTTAAGGAGGTCTCGAAGGGGGTCAGCGTCCAAAGAAGTAAGGGAGAACCTCCAAGCCCGAGGAGCCACCTCCGTATCTTTGTGGTATGAAGGAAGTCCGACAGATTCTCATGGAATGGATTAAGAATGATGATGTCGAGCTACCATAAGTGGAAAAAGAGCCAACTAGAGAAGAAAAAAATAGCTCGACTTTCTGTGAATTGCATCGCCACACCAAGCATAACCTTAAGGATTGCTGGACCGTGTGCTGACTATTTCAGAAGCGCTTAAAGAGTGGAGAGTTGGTATTGACGGGTGCCGAGAGCAATGTCCATGATCGACCTCTCATGGACCACGAAGAAGGTAAGGAGGTGCACATGGTGTTGATTTACGACAAAATCGAGGATATAACGAAAGGTAACTTCAAAGAATGGCTTAAAATTCAGTTAAATCGAGAGACCTTAGAAGATTTCCACGATGTGCCAAAGAATGACCCCTATGTGAGTGCACGTATCTTGAAGGAAATAGTCAAGTTCAAAAATTTCTTTAATCAGTTGGGACTTACTGATGGTACCAGATTGACAGCCACCAAGGCTAGCATAGACTTGTACACTGATGGACCCTCAGGCCCTGAGAAGTGCATGGCTACGGAAGGCTCGGTGTCCCGCAGTATCAAGGAAAAGTTTAATGCCATCACCTTCACGGAGCGGGATCGCCAAGTACCCTGAAAGCACAATCACCAACTCTACGTCACCACCAAGATCAATGTGGTACAGTTGAAAAGGACTTTTCTGGACAATGGGGTCTCAGTTAATGTCATGCCTTTGTCCACATATGAGCAGCATGGACTTCGCAAGTCAAGTTTCCTCAGAAAATGGACTGTCATCGTTGGATTCGCTAGCAACAAGAGAAGGACTCTCGGGTATATCACTGTCTCTTTGGTTATGGGGAAGGTGAGGGTACCCATGACCTTCCATGTGATCAATGCTCCTACGACTTATCATGCGCTCTTGGGACATAGCTGGATAAATAATCTAGGAGCGGTCCCTTCTTCGTACCACCAGTGCATGAAGATGATTTGAAATGAAAAGAAGTGATGATACCCACGACCGAGGACCCCTTTAGCAGCAATAAGACACACTTGACGGAGGAAGCATTATACGATGAAGTGGTCGAAGACGACAAGGCTGTCAGCCCACTACAACAACACTTGTCCTTCCCTATCCTTTCCTGGAAGGAGGTTCAACGCGAAGTCTATGTAACACCGTGAAGGGTTAATATGAAAGAAAGGCTCGGAGAACGGGCTCGAGGAAAATAGGCAAGTTGAAGAGCCCTCACGGAAGGTGGCCCCAAAGAGATGTATCTGTCGTCTCCAACCAATTATGATGGTGTGGGGGGACCACTCACAAGGCCGGGAGGGTGAAGTCCTGAGACGAGGTGCATGAAGCAGAGGCCAACATCACCGTGACACCCACTAATGCAGTCCCTGCGCCAGAATGCATGGAGGATCGCCCTAAGCTACATGAGTAGGAGCTTGAGGAAGTAAACCTCGCCCCACTTAGGGAATCATCGCTCAATGGTAGTCAAGGTTTTCTATCTGGTACAAGGATAAAGAGATACACCTCAAAAAAAATGCACAAAGACAAAAATACACAAGTCCTCGCAACCATTATGCATGCAAAGCTCATCAAAAGAAGGTCCATGCATGCAGGGGCAACTAACCACGATAATATTTTTAGCAATAGAGAAATGACGACAAAAGACTTGGGCCAATTTTATGAAAAAATTTTAGTCATCAGCACCACGATTAGCTCACAGACGATAGTTACCGTTAAACGACAAGTGCAAACAAAAAATGGGGTGCACGTGCAGGACGCTTCCTACGACCTGGCGTGCGTAGGGGGCAAATGTAGTACTCGAAAAAACTTAAAAGATACATGTCTTTACCATAATAGGACAAGTGACAATAATTATTAATTGATATGAAAATGATGTCCGACAAAGTTCAGATGGACTAGTATAGATAACAGTGACAAACGCGACACCTCTTAGCTCGACGCCCCTAGGCATGATGTCACTAGGTGCGACGCCCTCAAGCACAATACCACATCATGGAAAAATACATCTCCATCGCATTAGAAGTGGCAAAATGGACTCTTCACCAATGATGGACAGAAGTGAAATCGCATAAGTATGAGGCAACCTCGGCGCGACGCCCCCTCGACATGACGCTCTCAGACACAACATCACAACAGGGCGACATACATCCCCATTGCATTGGAAGTGGAAAGTAGACCCTTAACTAAGAGTGGACAAAAGTGAATCGCAGAAGTATGAGGCAATCTCTACAAAACTCGTCTCCCCCACTACAGGAGTGGTGTCTTCAACCTATTGGACACCATTGCTCGATTGACCCACTGGACTAAGAGGAGATGTCCCCACCTAGGGACATAAAAGTACGACCCTCCTCAAGGGAGAACTGAGCAATAGTGGTGGACAAGCATGATTGTCAACTTCGGCCTGGGGTAGGATCTCGAAGGTTTAATCTGCTCAAGCAGGCCTCCCAATGTATGACTCACTGCTCGCTAGGATGTGCTTGACTGACATCCAAAGATACTCTTAAGGTAACTGGGGTTATTGGTCCGTATCAGCATATGAGATGATGAGACATGTGAATTGGTGGCTGGAGGACTGAAACTCTGTGAGTTTCCTCTATTGGGCACCTCGACAAAGGTCTTAAGGAAGAGTCTAGAGAGGGAAAGAAGGACCCTGGGTAAGAGCGCGTTGGGGGCATCGCAAACATGGCCCTCTCGAGGTCATGGTCCCACGGTGACCAATTGCAGTTATGGACCTTGAGAGCCCGCTCTTGCCTTGACCGTTACACCTTCCTCAAGGCTACACCTAGGTTGTGTTTGAGAAAATATCACATTTGCCTAGTTAATGTTGGGACGCATTGACTCGCGTTAATGATCACTAATATCGTCGTGATCGAGGTGGTTGTGGGTTCGCACGGGTGATAGGGGGTCGCGGTGGACCGCTTTTTAGGCAGCCCGACCTGCCTGGGCACTGTACTATAAATGCCCACATTACTTGTCCACTGCAGAGGATGATTTTTTCTGACTGGTGAGAGCATTTTTCACCTACTCTCTGCCCAACTGATTCTTCCCTTCGTTAACAGACTGCTTGAGTTCCTTTCATCCCATTCACTTACCCTACTCACCTCTTTCGATTACTCTTGGTATATACATATGTGTCAACCTCTTTTAACTCCCCACTTACACGTGCTAAGGCTGGGCTAATAGGGTTTGCCACATCCAAGTGCTTTAAGGAGACCCCCTCCCCCATCAGGGCATTCTAAAGCAAAACTCAAGTGATAACACCAAATATCAAAGAGCCCGAGGCATCGTAATGATATTCTTGAAATTGCCATTATCACGGTTATATATGAATTGTATTCAAGTCATATTTGGATCCAAGTTTACTTTCAAAGATTTCGTTGGCTTCATGGGATAAGGTTTGGATCTTTTGGCTTTACTTGGAACAATGATGTTGTCCAACACGGAATTGCTTAGTGAAGTTTTTTGCTACTTGGACTTAATGACCCATTTGACCTAGTCTAATATGAGTTTGATACCTTAATGCCTCAGAAAGCTTTAAATGGCAGCAACGTGGTCACAATAACAACTATGAGATTGACGACAATGAGTATCATTTGAGTTACCCGCTTTTGTAACGAAAATGTAATGCAATTAAGGGACTACCAATAATGCTATTTGGCAGCCAGCTAGATGGCTTTAGAGATGAACCTCTCAACTCAACTCACCTCACCTCACCCCTTTCCCCCTTTCTCTCTGCCTTCTTTGCTAAGTCACTTAATATGCAATATAAAAGCACATAGTCGAATCTATAAAACATGTCTTTTTGTTACCTCAAGTGATAAAAATAATAGAAATATTAGTAAAGTTGTAAATAATAAATAAAAAGTTTTAAATTAAATTGTGATAATCTACGAAGATGTGAATGAAATTTTCGTCGGCATACTAGTGAAATTCATTTTATTATAGTTGGATTATTTAGACTTCGTTGGGATTGGGTGTTATTGAAAAGTCTACACACTTATTTGGAAAAATGAGAGAGAAAAAAAAAAGAAAAATCGAAATTGAGAGGATCAGAGCAAGCAACATCAAAGAAAAACACCACGTCAGAGCAAGCAACATCACATCAATGAAAAAAACACAAACTCAAAAAAAAAAAAAAATCAAATGGATAAACCGAAACAGGGAGAGGAAGAATGACCAGCCCCACTAATTAGTTCAAATCATACTCCCACCACTTACCCATCGATATTATCCACAAAATATTCTGTCTTTTATTTATCTTCTGCCCCAAATTCCGGCAGATCATAGATATTTATACCCACATTCACACACATATATATACATGTATATACACGACCCATAACTTCTATACTTTCTATGGTGCCATGGCTATGGCATGTTGTTGTTGGTCCTGCCACATGGCCGTCGCCGTCGACATGAATATGAATCGGACTATGGCCACTGGAGTAACCCATCTTTTTTCTTTGAATTCCCATAAATTTTCCGGCAACTGGGACACGAAGCTATTTGGGTTTGTGTTTCAGAGGAAGGAGAGATCATTAGTACGGCGTCGTCTTAAGTTTGTTGTCAGTGCTGACCTCTCCAAGCCTTTCTCTGTGAACAACTTCGGTTTGGACAAACAGGTCAGCTTGTTATTATTGCTTTCGTTTCGTGACTGTGCTTCTGTTTTTGCTTGATTCACACACAAAAGAATATGTAGATTGAGGAAATTGTTTGTTGAAATGCCCAAGTGACCCCAGGAGTTACCTTTTCTTGTTTTCCTCCAAAAGTTATTTGTACGATTTTTTTTTTTGTATCGAAATGAGTGTTGTGTTTAGATTTTGGAAATTGGGTTGCATTGAGTTGCTTGATTTACGTTGTTAAGGTGTTCACTCTGGATTACGAGGGCAATTGGCTGGTACAGAGTCAAATTGTACGGGTAATAATGATTTCATGAAGGGGTTGTATAAGTGGGCAGCCACTCTGTGTACCCTATACCGAAGTTTAAGTTTGTACTCTGGCCAGAGGACCCAACCGGATACCCAATCCCGTTTACTTGGATTATAATGGGAATGATCAATGTCATCCATTTCTTTTTTTTTAATATGTGAGTCCATTTTATGATAAAATTATTATTCGACTATACCTGGTGGTCAAATTGTTGAATTTTTTAGCTATTTGGTGGCTACAACTGACAGGAGTGGTACGAAAATGTTGCGGTGGGATGTTGGGAATTCTGTTGTGTCTGCATTGCCATGAGATAGGCAATCGTCCCTGACCATCTCTTCTGAGATTGAATTGAATGCAATAAGGGTTCATTTCTGTTTTTCTAATATTGTTTCTGATTGTTGCAACTTGGGTCATTGCTGTTTTATTTTAGTAAATGCTATGATCCGGATTTGAAACATTGTTCTTCCCTCTTTGCCAATTTAATGTGGCCTGATCCATTCACCATCACCCCAAATTTGGTCGGCCTTAGGTTATAAAAGGGATCCTTATTTGGCAAAAGAATCATTTTTACAGTGCCACTCTTAACTGTTCATATTCTTTGGAATTGTTTGACCCTTAAAACCTTCTTGGTAAAATATAGCTGAAAATGAATTTGACCCTTAAAACCTTCTTGGTAAAATATAGATGAAAATGAATTAGTTGAAAGTTGATTATAGTTTTAAACTTTGCTCTTTGGTGAGGCTGCTATCTTATATTGCAGTTTTCTTGCTTTTGGAAGTTCCATTAGATTAAGGGGCATCGTGTTTTTCCATTTTGTTCTTCTAGACCACTCTGTTTGCTACATCAGATGCTCAAAAAGCTGTACTGCCTTTACGCACTTGGGAAGGTCGAAATTGTACCAAAACATCTGTAGGCACTCGGCGTGGTCAGGAAAATTTTGAGACATGCATTCTATGAAGCACGAATACGGATATAGAATACGAGTACGATATGAATACGACGATACGACAAAGTCTAAAAAAATAAGATACGAGTACGACCAAGATACAACTATAATAAAATATATTTAATATTTTTATTATTTTCAACTAGTTTAATACTTATATATTTTGATAGTTCTTTAACACACATTAAGGAAAATTAGTAATTTTTTTTAGTTTCAAGAAAATATATATCGTATCATTATGGTATATTCATAAAGTGAAGTCGCTAATTAAATGAATCAAAACTAATATTTACCTAGTATTTAGAAGTAATTTTTGTGAAGGTTATAATGTAATAGCTTTATTTTATACTCTTTTGACATGTAATTGTAGATAATACTTGAGAAATACTTATGTGCCTTTGAAGTAATATGATTTTTTGTTAATGTATAGCATGGTTATGGTATGTGAATTCGAAAAGAAATGTTAAAATTTAACTCAAAAATTATATATGTTGCTCGACCACAAAAGTATCTGTGAAGTATTCTATTTTTAATTATTATCGGATATGTAGAAGGTGTATCCGATACGTATTCTTGTATATCCGATGAGTATCATATCTGATACGGTATTCGATACGGGTATGCCAACCTCAACGAAGTATGCGTGCTTCATACCATGCATTGCAACTTTATTGAGATCACAAGTCCATTTGAACACACCCATAGTCATCACAGGTCCCCATCGGCACGCTTGTACTGGTTTTGAGGGCTGCTGGGAAGAAGTATTCACAACCCAAGATAATTGTATTGTTACGTGTTTGTTTATAATTAGTACATGTCTGTTATTCACCGTATAAGATGTGCACCATATAGTCATATATAAATGTACAAGAGCCATTACAGATCAGGTTGGTTGGCTGGTTAGGTATCATGTGGCATCCATCCAATGGCATGCTGATCCTTTTTGCCCTCACCTCTTGCACTTGATGGTAAAGTTTAACTTTGATTCCTTTGACCATATTTAGAATGAACAATTTGTTAATGCTGCCGACCTGCTCTTAAACCTAGGACATTCTTCAAATTGCTCGTTAGCTTGTTGTTATATGTAACATTGCTTTTTTCTGTTGCATCTATAAGCTGCATGCTGGTGTTGTCCCTAGCTCCTAGTTTTAACATGCATTGTTTTGCTCCCTTCTCGTGCTGTGGCCAATATTGTTCCATTTAGTTTGCTATGTTTGATAAATTTTTGAGGTTTGTTCTGATGAATAATGTTATGACTTGATGACTCTGCATCATATACTGATTGTTCTATTTGAATTTGAAGACTGTCAAGTCCCACAACTTATCCCAGTTGCCGTGGATTGGTCCACTCCCTGGGGAAATTGCAGAAGTTGAGGCTTACTGTAGAATCTTTAGAGCTTCTGAACGGTTTCATAATGCATTGATGGACACATTGTGTAATCCCTTGACTGGAGAATGTAGTGTTTCATATGATGTCCCATCAGAAGATAAACCGTTGTTGGAAGACAAAATAGTGTCTGTTCTTGGTTGCATGATATGTCTCCTGAATAAAGGAAGGGAGGATGTGCTTTCAGGAAGATCCTCATTCACAAATTCATTTCGCGATGTAGATTTAAATGTAATGGAAGAAAAGCTTCCACCTCTTGCCAATTTCAGGGGTGAGATGAAAAGGTATTGTGAGAGCTTACATGTTGCTCTTGAAAATTATTTGACACCTGATGATACCCGAAGCTTGGATGTATGGAGGAAACTGCAAAGACTGAAGAATGTTTGCTATGATTCTGGCTTTCCTCGTGGGGATGATTGTCCATGCCCTACATTAGTTGCAAACTGGAATCCTGTTTATTTATCTTCCTTAAAGGAAGACGTGGAATCTACAGACTCTGAAGTAGCTTTTTGGAAGGGTGGCCAAGTAACTGATGAAGGTCTGGAGTGGCTAATGGAAAAAGGATTCAAAACCATTGTAGATCTTAGAGCAGAGACTGTGAAGGATAACTTCTATCAGACAGCATTAGACAGTGCTATTTTGTCTGGGAAGGTTAAACTGGTCAAACTTGAGGTTGAAGTTGGCATTGTGCCTTCAATGGAGCAGGTCGAGAAGTTTTCGGCTTTAGTGTCAGATTCCAGCAAAAAGCCCATATATCTCCATAGTAGGGAAGGGGTATGGAGAACTGCTGCTATGGTCTCTAGATGGAAGCAGTTCATGGCTCGCTATGGATTGCAAAACGTCTCCACTCAGACAGTCACTCCTACGGATGTTCAACAACAAGATACAAGAAGAATGGAAGAATTTTACATCTCTTCGACAGCTTCTGAGGAAGAAAATGAATTGGTGCGAGAGAAGTTGGATAAGATTTATGATTCCACTGTGGAGTTTATCAATCAAGTCTCTTCACCTACAGAAAACCTCAGTAGTAATGGAGCCAATGATGGGGTTGTACCCCACCAAGAACCTGGATCAATCCAAACAGTTGATGATACTGGATTAGGATCTTCAATCCACTTTTGCAGTGAAGTCAACCCTCTTGAGTCCCAGCTGCCTCCTCCCAATGTTTTCTCCAAGATGGTGATGTCCAGGTTTTTCAGAAGTAAAAAGATCTCACCTGCAACATACTTTAGTTGTGAACATAAAAAACTGGAGATGCTGTATAGTGCAAAATGGAGGTCTAATGGGACAACTCGGAAAAGTGAAATCACTGAGAGCTATCCAGAATCAAGGATTATGGAAGAAGCAATATCGAATGGGTCTCTAAACAGTAAGAACTTATCTTTGAAGTCTCTGAGTTTTCTTGGTAGTAATGGCACTTATCAAGATCAAAATAGTTATTTATCCTCGGGTCCTGGTTTGAATGGATACAGTAAAGGGAAACAGAATGTCATTAGTAACATTGTTGATCCTATTGGTGTGAGCAGTAAATTAGAGAGGGATGGTAATACACCTATGACCATGACAGTGGATCAGAGGAGCAATGTTGAAGCCCCAATATCTTCAGGTGATGATGGAGTGGAGCTGCTTGAGGGAAACATGTGTGCCTCTATGACTGGTGTTGTGAGAGTGCAGTCAAGAAAGAAAGCAGAGATGTTTTTAGTTCGCACAGATGGATTCTCTTGCAACAGAGAAAAGGTAACAGAATCTTCCTTGGCGTTTACTCATCCTAGCACCCAGCAGCAGATGCTTATGTGGAAATCTCCACCAAAGACTGTATTATTGTTGAAAAAACTGGGCCAAGAACTCATGGAAGAAGCTAAACAGGTAGCCTGCTATCGTCTTTTTCATTTACTCAGAAAAGGAAAAACAATGTACTTTGATGTGACTACAATTTGGTGGTAATATTGTGTTGACAATTGTGCTCCCTTCTCCCCTTTTCTTTTCCTTTTCCTTTTCTGTTCTTTACTTTCTTTCTGTGTGCTTGTGTGTAGGTGTGTTATCTTCATCACAGTTACTAGAAATCGCTAAACCAGATGACCCATTGATCTGGGGGCAAAGATCCCAGACAGGGTAGGTTCGTGGTCCAGATCACCATAATCTCTGATCCTAAATCGTAATCTAAACCCGCAAATATAAAGAAAATATTAATTGACTCTGTGGATGAATGCATATATAATTTCAAATAATAGAAAACTCTTCACTATTCTAAAATAAATATTAATTGACTATTTGTGTATAGATGTGTAACTTTGTATAATTTCTTATAGTAGTCAAAATGATCGAGATAAATATTTCAAAATGAATTGTGACCCAAAGTAATGTACCAGCTAAGTTTACCCTCAGCACATCACGTACCAACAAAGTGTTGTATTGCATACCGTCCGTATCCACAACATGTACCAAACTGGCCCACGATCCAAGTACTCAGAGAATGCATGAGGCATATATGTATTGTCAATAGCTTGGAAAATTATGCAAAAAAGGAAAGGAGGAACTCGAAAATTAGTTAGTTAGATGTTATATGAATGACACCCAAGCCCACAGACCATACCTGTAGGAGACCTAATTTGTTAGATGTTCTATTTCTTTTTTGCCATTCTGTGATTGGAATCTTGTAGTACTAGATAAAAAAATATTAAATTATCATATATTTTGTTGTATTCTTAGGGGCCATTGCTTGATGCACTGGTAGAAGTGTCAGACTATTGGTTGATGCACTGGTAGACGTGTCAGACTAACCACGATGAGGTTGTAGGTTTAAATCTGAGGGCAACCACATTGTGCCCTTTTTTTGGTGCAGTGTAAACTTGTTTGGGAAGAATAAAGCAAACCTTGTATGGGATGTCTTTCTTTCTTTGTTTTCCTTTTTAGAGTTTATGATGGATTGGTTTTGGTTTCCTTTCGATTACACTTGTTTGATCTAGCTAGTAATTTTTATTTTTTATTGGGTTTCAACATGGTAGAATCCTAGGGTTATAGTTTTGTGATTTCTGTCTTAGTTTTAGTTAATTTTCTTTTTTAGGACTTTGTGAAAGCTGTATTAGAATTTTTTGTAATATAATTTTATGAGTAACAGCATCAAAATACAAATTCTCTCAGATATTGCATATGTGACTACATGATCAAATAGAAAGTCTCTTATTTTTTGAACTTTCTTCATCTGAAAACCCCCTACAAATGTACTACACAAAGTAAAACATGCATTTTGATGATTGAATTATGCTTAAAATCATTGGCATCAAACATTTTTGGAGAAATTTGACTTAGAAGTTTTATGAGTTTGCTGGATTGGTGGTTGTATGATTCGTTCTTGATACTGACATGAGGGTAGAGATAACTATTAAGCCTTTCCAGGTGGTAGTTGGCATGTGGCTTATTACTAGTGTATACACCTATACCCTACACAATATGCCTCTTTCCTTGTTCATACCTGACCCTTCGTCCCATAATTGACTGGAGCTAAAATCTGTTTAGGAATCCAAACGGAGTTGATTTATAAGGAAATAGTTTTATGAGTTTGCTGGATTGGTAGTTGTATGATTCGTTCTTGATACTGACATGATGGTAGAGATAACTATTAAGCCTTTCCAGGAGCTAGTTGGCATGTGGCTTATTACTAGTGTATACACCTATACCCTATACAATATGCCTCTTTCCTTGTTCATACCTGACCCTTCGTCCCATAATTGACTGGAGCTAAAATCTGTTTAGGAATCCAAAAAGGAGTTGATTTATAAGGAAATAGTTTTTGTGAAGCCATCTGTCCAACAATTTTTTGGAGATTGAAGAAGACGAACAACTCCAAATGAATTTACTATGTCAAATTTGAACCATTCTCATTACCTTGCGAGATTGAAGGTCTATCATCCCCCGAACTGATTCCATTTTATCCAGCTCATACTGTTAGGTCTACTGGCAATAGCATTATCAATTTATTAATTTTGGTGGGAACTTGAACATTGGATGGCCAAAATTGTAAGGATATGTGTGTTTCAGAATGAATTGATTTATAAATGGAAATGTTGATATTTTAAAAAATATTCTCAGTTCTGAATTATACTTGCTGCTGCTGTTTGAAAGATATTTTGGTGTAGCAAATTCTTGTACATCCAGGATTGTTTATAGATCAGGAGTGTAGCCATTTTAACAACATTTTCTCCTTAAATGCAGGTTGCTTCTTTCTTGTATCACCAAGAGAAGAAGAATGTTCTTGTTGAACCTGAGGTACATGACATTTTTGCCAGAATCCCTGGGTTTGGTTTTGTTCAGACCTTCTATAGTCAAGATACCAGGTGCCGGAACTCATTGGTCTAGAATGAAAAGCATTCATACTTTTCATGTCTACATAATCCATAAAGAGTTTTGATCTTACCTAATGTCCTCAATGCAGTGATCTTCATGAGAGGGTAGATCTAGTAGCTTGTTTGGGAGGAGATGGGGTTATACTCCACGCATCAAATTTATTTAGAGGTGCTGTTCCCCCTGTTGTCTCATTTAATCTTGGATCTCTTGGATTTCTCACTTCCCATACTGTATGCTTCTTAACTCTCACTATTTTTTGAAGTCTCTTTATAGGAGATCTTTCTTTTCACTTTATCTTTCGTCTGAAACAGTTTGAAGACTATAAACAGGACTTAAGACAAGTCATCCATGGGAACAACACACTAGATGGTGTTTATATAACTCTAAGAATGCGTCTCCACTGTGAGATTTTTCGAAATGGGAAAGCAATGCCTGGGAAAGTATTTGACGTCCTCAATGAGGTTGTAGTTGATCGTGGATCAAACCCATACCTTTCCAAAATTGAATGTTATGAACATGACCGCCTCATAACCAAGGTATAACAAGTGAATTTATGAGTTCACGATCATTTTCTATCAGTAACTTCCTGCCGGCACGTAGTCAATACTTTTTTGATGCTTGCCATCTTATAGCAGAGTCAAAATTTATTATAAACTTCCAACTGCAATCACCATTTATGCTAAATTTTCCTAATGTAAACTTTGATATCGCCGCATGTTTGATTCTATGCCCTATGTCTTTGTCATCATTTATTGATAGGTGCAAGGTGATGGAGTCATAGTAGCCACACCTACTGGAAGTACCGCTTATTCTACAGCCGCTGGAGGTTCCATGGTAGGCAACCCTTGTTAAGAACCAAAATTTATGGCCTTAAATTCCTTGTAAAGCTTGGTACTATATATTTGGTCGGTAGATTTATCTACTTTCTTACCTTAGGTTAGCATAGAGTTGTTGTGAAAATTAAGGGGTCGTTTGGTAACGCTTTTGTTTTCATGTCTTCAAAAAAATAAAAAACTAAGACAATTTTTATCTCTGTTTTGTGGTAAATACTGAAACAGAAAATATATTCGGGAGTCATTTGTGTCTATCAAATTATGAGAATAAAAATAAAAAACATGTTTGGTAACTACTTCAAATTTTATCCTTAAGTCTCGTGTTTTTTCTTTCAACAATAATATTGAGACTTAACAAATTGAATTAATTTGATAAATTAATGATATGGTCAACAATCTCAAATGTCAATTCAATCAATCCTAAAGAAAGGTATAAATCACTTTTCTTTAAAAAAAAAAAAAGAGAAATTTTATTTATTCACAAAAAAAAAACATTATAAGAAGCAAAAGAAAGATATAAACCACCTTTGCATCATAAAAAAACCAAAACCGAAAATTCAAGAAACAAAACAGGCCATTGCCTTTAGAAAGCAAAAACCAACACCAAGACAGCAGCTCCATCCAAAAACAGAATATGCAGCCAATCTAACAGCAAAATAACACCTCTTCTTCTCATATTTTAAACAAATCAACACTTGAATTTAAAGAAAAGCTATCAACCCTTATCATCAAACGCCTGTCCCTTTCGCCTTCGCAGATGTTAAGTTTGGAGAATTAACACAATATTAGAGAGAAACAGAGAGTGGTTAAAAACTTAATCTAGCTCTCATACATCACTTGTATTTATAGTTAACCTACAATACTAAGAATTATACATACACTCTCTTACTACTAACAATTTACACATACTACCTTATTATTCTTAACACTCTCCCTCAAGCTGGACTGTATATATCTTATAATCCAAACTTGGAACAAATAGCTGTAAGACGTGTACGACTCAATGTTTTGGTAAACATATCTGCAAGCTGATTTTCAGATTTCACAAATAGAGTTGTAATCTCCTCAACTACTATTTTGTCTTGAATAAAGTGACAATCAACCTCAATATGCTTTGTTCTCTCGCGAAACACAAAATTGACAGCGATATGGATAGCTGTCTGGTTGTCACAGAACAACTGTAAAGGAAGTTGAACTGGAAACCCAATTTCCTAGAGGAAGGGTAGTAGTCAAGTCAACTCACTCGTCGTATATGTCATTACCCTATACTCAGCCTCGGCACTAGATCTTGCTACCACAGGTTGTTTTTTACTTTTTCATGAGACAACATTACCTCCTAAGAAAGTACAATAACCAGTGGTTGATCTTCGATCAGAAAGAGAGCCAGCCCAATCAACATCTGAGAAACCTTCCACTCTAAGATATTCATTAGCTCGATATAACAGTTCAAGTTTAAGAGCTCGTTTGAGATATCGCAGAATACGAGTAACTATCTTCTAATGTGGTACTCTAGGACATTCCATGAATTGACTTACTATATTGACTGCATAGGAAATATCCGATCGAGTAATAGTGAGATAATTAAGCTTTCCAACTAATCTGCAACACTGACCCGGATTCTCAAACAATGCACCATCATCCATCAATAATTTTTGATTCGGATCCATAGGAACATCAATCGATCTATCACCTAGCAAACTTGTTTTCTCAAGCATGTCAAATACATATTTTCTCTGGGATAAATAAATACCCTGTTTAGATCAAGCCACCTCAATACCCAAGAAATACATGAGTTTTTCCAAATCCTTAGTATGAAATCGATCTTGTAAGAATATTTTTAACTTGGCAATCCCCTCAGAATTATTTTCAGTAATCACAATATCATCTACATAGACCACCAATACGACATATCCAACATCTGTCTGTCTATGAAACACAGAATGATTTATTTGACATCGAAGAAGACTAAGTTCTAAAATTGTATTTGAAAACTTACCAAACCATGCCTTCGGTGACTGCTTCAAACCATACAAAGATTTTTTTAACTGACATACACTCTTATCATACTCCCTTTGAGCAGTAAACCCAGGTGGCTGCTCCATGTATACCTCTTCAACCAAGTCACCATGTAAGAAGACATTCTTGATGTCTAAGTAAAACAAGGGTTAATCAAGATTAGCAGCCAAAAAAATCAAGATACGAACAGAGGAAATTTTGGCAACAGGAGAAAAAGTCTCATAATCAACACCATAAGTCTGAGTAAAACTCTTTGCAACAAGCCGGGCTTTGAGACGCTCCACAGAACCATCTGGATGAAATTTAACAGTATACACTCAACGACAGCCAATAGTTCGTTTACCAGAGGGTAAAGGAACGAGATTCCAAGTCCCATTATGATGTAAAGCATCCATCTCCTCCTCCATAACTTTCCTCCAACCTGGATCAGACAATACATCCTGTGAATGCTTAGGAATAGATATAACAGATAATTGGGAAGTAAAACAAGAAAAGACAAGAGACAAGGCATCATATGAAACACAATGAGAAATGGGATGATTCGTAACACACGAACGAGTAACTTTGCGAAGAGCAATAGGTAAAGAGTCTAAATTACCTGATGTACCAGGATCATAAGGCGGCAAGGAATACGGTACGAGCATTTCAGTCGATGAGCGAGAACGGCAAGAATAGACACGGAGAGGTAAAGTAGATGGTAACACAGTGGGCAGCGAAATATCTGAAGATGAGAAAGAAATGGTGGTACTAGAGAGGATCTAAAGTCCAGATCCAAAGGTTGAGAAGGTGCTAGAAAGTATAGAACAGACTCTTCAAATGTGATATCGACACTAGTAAAGTATTGGTGCAGAGAAGGACTGTAGCAACGATTTCCCTTCTGCGTGCGGGAGAAACCAAGAAATACACATTTGGTAGTTCGAGGGTTAAGTTTATCAAACACAGGCCCCAAATTGTGAACATAACAGACACAACCAAAAACCTTAGGAGTAAGGGAAAATAAAGGCTTACCGAGAAAAAGAACAGAATATGGACTTTGCCCATTTAACACAGAGGATGACATACGATTGATAAGATGACAAGCAGTAAGAACAACATCACTCCAATAATATCAAAAAATATTAATCTGGAATAACAGGGTACGGGTGACTTCCAACAAATGACAGTTCTTGCGTTCAGCAACACCATTTTGTGGAGAGGTGTAAGCACAAGAAGTTTGATGAATAATTCCAGTTTTACTATGATAAGCTGAAAGAGGATCAGATTCATATTCCCGAGCATTATCGGAACCTAAAGTACGTATACAACAACCAAATTGAGTTTTTATTTCCTTACGAAAAGTCTCAAATATAAAGAATAATTTAGATCGAGCTTTCATAAAAAACAATCAAGTCACACGAGAATAGTCATCCATAAATGTCACAAAATAAGGATATTTATTAGGTGTAATATTCTTTATTGAACCCTATACATCAGAATGGACTAATTCAAATGGACTAGACATACGATTATTGACTCTAGACTGAAATGACACACGGTGATGCTTACTAAATTGACAAGCTTCATAAGACAAAGACGACACATAACTAAGACTGGGAACTTGGCGCTTCAGATTTTGGAGAGAGGGATGTCAAAGACGACAATGCCATTGAAAAGGAGACAACGAGGTTTGTAGAGCCCGAGTAGGTGAGTCAAAATCAAAGTAATATAGGCCACTAACTTTACGCCCCGTATCAATCTTCCTTTTTGTCTTGAGATCCTGAAAGACACAATAAGAAGTATAAAAAGTTACAGAACAATTGAGAGAATGAGTAATCTTACTAATGGAAAGTAAACTAAAAGGAAACTGAGGAACAAATAACACGGATGATAGGGACATAGAAGGACTCAAGTGAGTAGTCCCTAGACCTGAAACTTTAGAACAAGTACCATTAGCAAGAGTAACACTGCTTGTGGAAGTAGCAGACTGATAAGCAGAAAAAATATCGGATGCACCAGTCATGTGGTCAGAAGCGCCAGAATCTATGATCCAGTGATTACGGGTGGAGGACAATAAACAAGTGGAAGCAGTACCTAATTGGGCAAAAGTAGCAGTGGAGGGAGATGGAACAGCCTGTTGTTGGGACAGGAACTGGGCATACTCTTCTCGACCTAGTATAATAGTAATTGACCTAGTGTTTGGTGGAGTTGACTGAGGTATGGAAGCAACAACCGATGTGTCATTCTGATAAGAAGCCTGATTAGCAGCATCAGAAGATTTTCCATGTAAATCCCAACAGAAGTCAACAGTGTGTCCTCTACGGCTATAGTGAGTACAGGAACGAGATCCATTATGACCCCCACGACCACCCATACGACCTCCCGTATGACCTTTGCGACCACCACGTCCACCTCGATGACCATCACTATGGCTATTAGGAATCACAAGAGTTGAGCGATCAGTGGAGACACCATGATCAATGACTGAAGGAGTAGACAGTGTAGCACGCTGTAAACGAGAGAAAACCTCCAACAGTGATGGAAGACTAAATCCACCCAAAATCTGAGAACGAATAGCCTCATATTCAGGTTTCAATCCTACCAAAAATCTAACAACATTCAGGTCCTCATATTGTTTCTGTCAAACTGCTGCATCAGTAGTAAACGGATGGTAAGTCTTTATTTTCTCATAGACTCTCCGAACATGAAAGTAATAATCCGCAAGGCTCAAAGTACCCTGCTCCAACCGGAAGTACTCCTTGCACACATCATACGAACGGGTAAAATTACCTGTATTAGAATATATAATGACCAAGTGATTCCATATTTTTTTGGTAGTATCAAGATAGAGCAGAAAGGAGCTAATACTGGGCTCTATGCTATTCAACAATAAAGAGATAATCTGAGCATCTTCTTGTTCCCACTGATCATACTCAGGAGTATCTTCTTTGGGTTTAGAACCCACCAGATATTTCTTAAATCCTTTGCCTTAAAGAAAGACTTGAACAAATCGGGACCATAAAGTGT